CTCCATTAAGTCCAAAGGAGGGCTGGTGTTCATTTCTGCTGACTGGCTGCTTCTGTGAGAAGAAGTCAATCTTTAAAGCCTCTTCAGGGGAACCAATGGAAGATGAAACAGCAATGTCTTGAGGGGAAGCCTTTTATCTTTCCTTTTGCAGCAGAGAAGAGTGTAGGAGAACCCGTCCTGTGTCTGTCTGTCTACTGCTAAAGGCTTTTCTGGTCCCCTGACCTGGTGGTGCAGACTGGCTGTGTTTGATCCCTGATGCAGCACAAGAGCAGATATCTTTGCCTCTCTTGTCGTTATGCTTTTCTCACCCAGGATCCACCATGCATGTGCTCACCTCACCCGTGGAGGACACGTGCCAGTGGGCCCCTGGAAGGAACTGCGCTCCAGATGCACAGGCAGCCTTTGCTCAGCACTGCGGCGGTGACGTGTCGCTCACCACTGCTGTGTTTGCTGCTTCTGTTGGTCAGACAGCCTTTTGGTGTCCTCTCTGGCTCGCCTGTCAGCCTGCTGCGTTCTCTCAAATAGGAGCAGGCAAAGGGCTGGTCCCTGAGGAGCATTATATTAGATAGGAGCATGACATTTTCCGGATATTTGGGCTTAGACAACCAGGCCAGGCTTGGAGATGTGGACTGTCAGGCTGATCACGTTATCCAGGGAGGTTGCCCTTGCAGTTGTTTACCAGTGCTGGAGAGGGGATGCTAAACCTGGTAAGCACTCTGGACCCCAGCTGGGACAGACACCTGTGAGACACAGCAGCAGGTACAGAGCTTGCAAGGCCAAGTTCAAGTGGTGGGGGAGAGGACTTCCAATGCTTTTCAGGGTCTTGCCATTCTCAACTCTGCCCAGTTGGTGGACACCTGTTCAGGTCAGAAACTCATCATGGCCACATCTGGAGCAGCAATCCTGCTGGGCTGCCCCAGGCAGCCCCCATCGCTCCCCCCCGAGGCTGTGCATGCCATGACCTGACCTGCACTGGCCAGTCTTTGTGTGGCTGGGCAGCATCCCAGGAGACTCGCCTAGGCACTGGCACAATTGGGCTGCCTTTCTTCAGCCATTCAGATGAAAGCAGCATTGCTTGGTGGTACAGGAGTATCCAGGCACATAGAGGGCCACGAGCAGGAAGACAGACTTTGAGCTGCTCCAGCCCCAGATTATTGTGAGGGGGGATGTTGGGATTTTGGCTTGTTTCTTTAGCAATGGCCTAAAATAACAAGAGGCCTGCTCAGTTGTTTGAGAGAGCTGTATTTTAATAACTCAATGGAAGAGGTGTGGTGGTTGCTTTGGTATGTCTTTGGGGCACGGCACAAGGGTGTGTGTGCTGAGATAGGACTGACGCATTGTGCAGGGCACAGCAAACCAAGTTTGGCACAACCATGTCCGTGATGCCTAACTTGTTTTGGAGTGACCTGTCCCCCAACTTGCCCCAAAAGTTGTACGTGATTTATTAGGTCCAGATGAGAGCTCAGCAGCAAATGAATTTATATGCCTGTGAACAATCAGGAGAGCTTGGAAGCTGTGTAGATGCAGCTACACAGAGAATAATTATAACCGTTTCCTCTCTCTGATACATGTCCCCTCTCATTTGGCACTTCTCTGCTGAGAGGAGAGCCCTTTCCCCTGGACCTAGAGAACACTGCTGAGCTCGCTTTTCTGCAGCACAGCCTGGGATGCATCTCTAGATCCTACGGGGCCTTTTCTTTCCCATGCCACAAGCTGGGCATGAGACAGTGCTTCATTTTCAACAGAGGGAAGGAGTAGCAGAAGTTCAGCAG